GGCCCGCGCGCTCCGCTCCTTTGTTCCGGGCGCCGCTGCGCAGAGCGGCCGGGGCCGCGGTCGCTGAGACGGCCACTGTCCGCGCGGCGGGCCGCCTGCCGAGGACAATGAGGCCATGTGGCCGCGAGCGCGGAGGGGCTTCCTCGGGGACCTTGCGGTGACGCGGGGCGAGCTCGGGGCTCGAAGGCGGAGGCCCTCGGGTGCTCCCTGCGGGACCCCGGGAAGAGCGAGCGAGCGCCCTGCGCCTCGGCCTCTCCTCCATAAGTGGGGGGAACCATCCCTGCCCTGCCCGCCTCGTGGGTTCTGAGGGTTCTGAGGACTCGGTGTGACAGTAGATAGGAGCGCGCGTGGTCATCGGTAGGCAGTTGCGCGAATGCCCTGACTTGGGAGAACGCGGCTATGTTCCTGCCTCGCTCGCTCACCTGGAGCTGTCTGGGGGCAGAGGTGCTGATTATTTCCTTAGGGAAATGAGGCTTACGAGCCGCTTACAGTGGTTGCTTCCTCAGGATGTTTACGTCAGCTTCCCCGAGCCTGGTGTGTGTTTGTTTTTCTTCAAAGGGAGTGTTCGATTGGGGGGGCGGGGGGATGGCACTGCGTCCTCCTGGAGAGCCACCACCTAGAGCTCCGAAAGAGAATTTTTTGACTTTTATGGACTCAAGTCCGACTAATTTGAGAATGAGGAGGGAGTGCCCTTGAGGGTTCCTGCCGAGATGGAGGGCTCCGAGAAAAGGGTTCTGCTGGGGAGGGCGTCCTAGAGCCCCTCACTCAGGGCCAGTGAGTACCAAGGCGGACGGGAAGAGCATTCGTAAGGCCTCAGCATTTGCATCTTGCCAGCACAACCGGCTGGTTTCTGGCCTCTCAGCTCTGTTTCTAGGAATTTAATAGCCTCCAGATTGGGCCAACTGAGGGTTTTTTCCCCAAATAACATGATGGGGTAAAGTTGTCCCTCAGCTTCCACGCTGACAAGGCCTGTTCACGGGTAAATGGGGGCCCTCCCACGGGGGGCTGCTTGTTCTGGGGAACAGGCCTGCTGTACATCCTTCCCCTCCCACCTGCAGTGTTCAGATTTCAGACGGGTTAATTCAGAAATCTGTTTAGAGGATTGGATGCTTCAGAGTCCCTGGGTATTGGGGGCCATTCCCAGGTGGGTAAATGCAACCCTTAGTGGAAGTGACACGTTTAATGTCTTTCTTCCCTACTAGGTCATGAAGGCAGGAACGTTACCTGCCAGTAATTACAGATGTTCAATGAAATCACACATCTTAGCCCACGTGAAGGATAAGCTAAAACTGACCAGAGGAATTCACGGGAAGCTGCCAACCCTGAGGTGCCCACGTTTCCTGTAGCTCAGGTCACCCTCCACAGAGCAGAATGCTTCAGTAAAACCTATGCAAAGATCAGCATGGTTTTCTGAAGACATCCATGAAATCCCAGGCCCTCCTGAGAGTCTAGGAGGGTGATGATTCTGGTGGAAAGAGGTATGACATTGGACAGATCTGGTTCTCAGTCCCAGCTCTGCTTCAGTGTTTCCTGTCTGTAAAGAAAGGCTAGTATCCAACTTCCCACCTACCTCCGGGTTGTTTTAGCAGATGGCAATGATGGTGAAAGGTAACTTGCTGTAAATTTCAAAGTCCCAAGCAAATGTAGGGGTACAAATGTGTGCTTTACCCACAGCCACTTCTCATCTTCTCTACTTGAATCCAATACTGACTGGTCGTGGTGTTTTCTGATGCTAGAATGCTGTTGTAAAAGTAACCATCTGGAAATTTTAATTAAGTTTTCAGTAAGCCAAGACATCATAAAACTTGCAAAGTCCAATTCTGTTTTTAAATAGATAATACACCCAACCCTGTAGTTTCTGGTTAGACTTTCCCAGGCTCCTTTAGGACCCCAGAGCTTAACTGCTTTTCCTGATACGAGACATGTTCCCTAAGGACTTCCATGATGTAGCCATATTATTTTTTTATTAGCACAAAAAAGAAGCTTGCAGAGTGTGGTCTGGTAATATTATAGAGAATTTCAGTCGTAAAATACAAAAAGATAAAGTCACGCAAAAACAGCCAAGATTAACAATGAAACCAGCTTTTACTTGTTTCCAGAGGCCTCAAACTATTTTGCACACATCTTGCTTACTTTTGCAAACTAAATAGCTGGCAAAAGAAACTAAAATCCTCATGGGAACACAAGTACACACTTTGTCAACTCATTTAACATTACTGAGCACCTTCATACTGTATCACAGGCACAGAGGAAAGTGCTGATGATACAGAAATGAACAAGGCAGAAGGGTCCTTTCCCTGGAACCCTGGTCACATCCAAACCCCGTTAATACGGCAGGCATGAGTGCCCGGATGTGGCAAATCTGCCTCATCCGGAAGATGTACCAGAGGCAGGACGTTGGAGTCGTCCTTTCCAACAATGAGATGTGAGAATTAGTTGAGACCAGTGCCTAGTGCAGCACATGGCATCTAGCAGGAACTCAATTAATGTTTATTAAATGAGCTACAACCCAGATTGAAAAGGCTTGAGGTGTGATGTTCTTAACATGTACATGAATAACAGTCTCTGAGAAGCAGCTCAGATGACTTCAGCCACAAGGACATGACTTTGAGGAATAATAATCACAGATAATGTTTATTAAGCACTACTTATGTGCCAGGCTGTTTACCAAATGCTTTACAATGCAGTGTCTTGTGTAATCCCTTTAACTACTGGGGTAAATACTTTTATTATCCCCATTTTACAGATGAAGATAAGTAGCTTGCCCAAGCAGAGGCAGATTTGCCTTGAAGCAGGTGATGCCTAAGCTTCAGTGGCCCTCACTTGCACAGGCTGTTCCAGGGCCCTGGGCGGGGTCCCAGCAAGTTATTTACAGGATCACATTTTAGTAAAATTTTCAAGAGCAAGGTTTTTATTCTTTTCTTTAAGGAGGACCCCTAAAATGATAGAACCTTCAGGCCCAACAAATCTTATATCCGCTGTTGTGCCCACGGTCACTCAGCTGGTAAGTGGTACCCAAGTCTGTGATCTTAACTAGCCCCAAGCTGCTTCCCGTCTCTGACCTACGGATCCTCAGCTGGAAGCTGGAAATATTTCCAGCCCTGCTTCTCCCACGGGACTATAGCTATCACGTGTGAAAAGACTTGAGAGTACTTTATTTTTTGATGTCCTGTTTTCTTTGTGTGGTTAACCCGTGTGTGACATATAACACATGGAACACACACATTTTAAGGAATACTTTAATAATGTAGGAAATGCTCTCCTTATGTTGAGTGAACAAAAAAGGAGATGAGTGTGTGTGTGTGTGTTACTAAACACTCCATCAGCATTAGAAAAAGCAAATGAATAGGCTAGAAAAAAATACATCAAAATGTTAACAATGGTTATTCTTTAAGTAGTCAGATCGCAATTTTATTTTCATTTTACTTTTCTGGATATTTCAAGTTCTGAATATACATTTTTTTCGATTAATTTTTGAAAATAATACATGCTTAGTTTAAAAATTAAATAATGCTAAAAGGCTTAATAAAATAAAAAGCACCCATCCCTGCTGTAGATAGAAGGAAAAAAAAACTAAAGCTAATCCTAACACACATTTGTTTTTATTAAAGCTTTTGGAATTCTGAGAGTAGAGAGGGAG